GGGGTGTCCTGGGGGTGTCCTGGCCCAGCACCTGGGTGCCCCAGCAGCACTGCTGTCCCCTCCTCTGCCCTTGTGCTGTCATTTCAGGGATTGTCCCCTCACGCTGTGGGACTCCAGGTCCCCAGAGCTTTTAGGGAAAGGCATCCATGTTCTGCTCCAACGGGCAGAGCAATATTTACGAATGTACAGGGAATAAGCATTGAGGTACAATATATTTCTACAGAATATAAGACATGTGCAATAAATTGTAACTTACACTGAATGTATTTTTGGCGTAAATGGACCAGATGTATTTTGAATGTAGCTATGACATGATGTCTAAGCCTGCTGTGATTCTCAGTCCCTAAGAAAAACATGTCATGTTTTGTCGACCTACAAACCACTTCCTGAGTTGACTGTTTTTAAAAGAAGTGTGAGTATTTTATCTGGAACACTGTAATATTGCTGAACTAAGTATAGCAGTGAGTGCTAACTTCGACCCTTGTGTTGTGAAATATCTGATCTGTGCACACTGCAGTTATTTTAAAAACTATTGCTAAAGTGATTGCTTGATATTGCAGCTGCCTGGATGTAAATAATAGTTTAGCTGTTGTATTTTGTATGCGGATTTGGGGACGACGTGGCAATTTTAATAAATTCAGTATGCTCTGCCCTTGTGTTCCTGTGGCCTGAAACTGTTCCTATGTTCATGGTGTGAGGGGAGAAGGGTGAAGCCTGTGTGAACCTGTAGAACTCTTCACTCGTGGCTCTTGCATCCACGGCAGTGTGAGCTCTCCGTGGGCTCCCCTTTGTACAGCACTCCCTGATCCTGCCCTTCCAGTTTTTGAGATTTTCAGTGGTGCAAATCTGAGTGGGACCAGCTCACCCTGAGCACTCAATTCTAGAGTGTGTATGCTTGAAAATTCCCCGACGTAGGCATAATCTGGGAATTTAAGTCAGACTTTATTTTAACTCAAGGCATGTCAAAATGAAATCTGCCATGCTGTGACTCAGGAAACTTCAGTGGCTTTTGAAGGGTACTGTGGGCTGTGGGCTTTATTTTTTCCCCTTAAAAAGAGCTTTGTATTATAGCGATCACTTGTGGACTCCCTGTGCCTGCCCATCTGCAGGACGGTGTCGTTGCTGCCGTGCGGGCTGTGGCCAGGCGGTCGGGCTCCGATGGAGCAGCAGCAGCCAGCGGCTCAGCGGCGAGCATCGCCTGCCATCCGCTGGCCGCCGCGGCGAGCAGGGCTGCGCGCTGCTCCTCCAGCAGCCGGGGGACCTTCCGCCTCCCGGGAGACACTGCTCCAGCACACTTGGGTGGAGTCGGATGGGCGCTTCTGCCCCTGCGTGCTGTGCCCGGCTGAGCATCCCGGCCCTGCGGCAGCAGAACGCGAGGCCGCCGCCCGGAGCCACGGCTCGGTGGAGGGGCTGGCTGGGAAAGAGAAGGGGCCGATTGCCCAGGTTCTCGTTATCTAGTAAATCAACTCCCCAGAGCCCCTGGCGTGCGCCTGGCAGCTGAGGAGGGAGCCAGCTCCTGAGGGCTCGTGTCCCACGGAGGATGGATGGATGGCTCCTTCCCTCTGCAGGGCCAGGCGCAGGGCAGGCACCCCGCGGGCGCTGCAGCCTCGCAGGGACGCTCCAGCCCTGGAGGCGGTCAAGGCCAGGCTGGACAGGGCGTGGAGCAGCCTGGTCTGGAGGAAGGCGCCCCATGGCTCCTGCCCTGACACAGAACCAGCGCCGTGCCAGGGAGGGGCTGGGGCAGGGCAGCCGTGTGAGCCCCCGGACACG